TCCTTGTCTTTAGAATCTTTATCTTCAAAAGACTCAAATTCTGAAAAAGAAAAATTTTATGCCCAAATAATAGCTAAGACCACCACAACGTTAGAAAAAGAAGAAGAGCAAGGAAATCCCTCAGACAATGAGAAGGAATCAAAGATAGGAATTGAAATTGATTTAGAAGGCTAGTGAGAAAAAGTAAAAAAAAAAATGAAAAAAAAAGGTTTAGAACAATAAAGGGAAAAAAAAAAAAAGTCAACTGGAAGAGCCGAACTGATCTCAGACATTGAAACTGTAAGATTTTCAAACTCAAAGTCAATTGTAGCAACCAGAAGCTCTTACACCCCAACATGGACCTACTCTCTTTTGGCACAAGCGTTATCCTTAACTTGATATAGTATTCCTTTAACATTGGGTTCAACCAAAAGGTAACTTTAGAATAGTTTCTTCCTACAATAAAAGAAAGGACTAATTTATTTATCGCCTAACCTCCGAGCTGACCTCTTTTTTTCCATCCTATAACTTTCTAAACTACAATTCCCATAATCAGAAGAAGACATAATAAAGAAAAAGAAAAAAAAGATATCAATAAAATAAAAAAAAGAAATGAAGATTGGTTAAAGAAAGTTAAAAATTTTAGGTCAGTTAAATCAAGTTGGTTTACGAGTAAAAAGGTTGTAAAATAAAGAATGAAAGCCCCAAAAGGCCCTTTGTATAGCCAACACAAAGATTAGATGAATGTTGCAGATCATTTTATACATCCTAGATGGTTATTGAGAACGACCCCTTACATTTTTAACTCTGGGTTTTTTACCGCCTAATTATCTATTCTTATTAAATGCAACTTTCATACAATAGAAAGGTAAATTGATCATTTCACTTACTCAAATTGATCAAAAACTCAAATTAGATCGATCAAATTAGTCAAACACCATATTAACCTTATGTTAAACCAGAAAATGAAATTTCAATACTAAGTAAAAACATAAGTCTTATGTCGATCTTCACCACATCAGGCACATAAATCACGTCAACAACTACTCATAAGCTCATTTGGTCTAATTTTTACCCACCTCAACATCGGCTCACTCACTTTGGTAACCCATTATAAACCAATTAAGTGTATAATTCAAAACCCACGCTTACAATGTGTTAGGATTGAAGGAAACGGAAAGAAAGGAAAGTAAAATAAGGAAAAGCAAAGGAAACAAAACTTTCCTCCCCTTATTTAGATAAATTTTTAATTTAAAAAAAAAAAGAAAAGAGGTTGGTTTCCATTGTAAACTCAAAATTTTTAATATCTCAATTTGGAGAAAAAGCTAGGGAAAGGAAAGCTAAAAAAATTTTTATAAAAAGACTATTGTATCCATCTTTTTATTGATACTAAAAACCTAATAAAAAAAACCTAAGCAGATCATAATTATCCTGTAATTTTTTCAAAGTTATTTCTTTTTTCAAGTAAGTTTTATATATCTCTTCCAATATAAAATTTTTTTATAATTTTTTTGTTATTTGATTTTGATGAATGGTTAAATATGAATAGACATATTATGATCCAAAAGTGCTTTAAAATCATAGGCAATTAAAGGTTATAATTGAAAAAAAAATTATTATAATGAATCATTTCCTTTCTTTTTCACTTTTTATCCAAACAATGATTGTTAAAAATTTTTTTATTAATTTTAATTATCCAAATAAGGGTTACATATATCCTTTCATTACCTTTAAAAAACTTTATTTTCCTTTTCTTTCTTTTCTTTTATTAATATTTATCCAAGCATAACGTTAAAATTAAGCTTAGTACCATCAAGCACACATTAGATCAACACATATCAAATCAACCAAGTCTGCACTCAATAGTCTGATACTCAGACTACTTAGTGGAAGGACAAAATGTTAAAGGTATTTTTTTGTCCAAAGGGCAAAATTATTTTTTCTCTTATTACATATTGTTAGCAAATAGCTAAAGACATTTTCAATTTTTGGGCTCTACCTAATATATATAGTGCCACATCAACTTGGTCACATCATCAATTACCTCATAGATCCCTTATTTTTCATCTATAAATAGGACCATTTAAGTACTATATAAGGATCTTGCTTTTTTCTACTTTCTCTCTATTTTACTTTCCTTTCGATCTCTTATACCGACTTTTGACTTAAATGTCGAAATACAAACGTAAATAACTTTTTTACCTTTATCCTTAATAACTCTTTTTCTCTCTGTCATGATTTTAGAATTATACTCTTTAGTTTAGAGCTCGACATAAACAGTTTTATTAGATTTTAGTTCTCTGAGTCTTTTATCCTTTACTACTACTAGATAATGGAAAATCGAGGCGGAAACACCACACTCTTATCTTTAAATATCGAACTGAACACCGGTACATGTTGATTAGTAAAACGGGATTTTGGAGCCTATTCGAAGGGATCCAACACCTTTTAAGCAATCGAAACACAAAATCACATCGGTGAGGCGGACTTAGACTTGGAAGTGGAAAAAGAAAAACGTTGTCCTTGTTGACCTGTAATGGGAGGCCATGTGGGGCTAGACAGGCCGAGTGGTCCACGATCAACTCTGCTACAAACCAGTCATTGTTCTGCTTTGTTTGAATGATCAATTACTGGGTACTACAAGCCAATCATAATTCTGCTTTGTTTGACTGATCAAGTTTCTTCCTTTAAATTTCCTTTGCACCATCTTGCTTGAAAGTGCGCACGAGACAAAGGAATCTGTCTCCACTCTGCAGCCAACCCACTATCATTCCATTTGTCCAATGCGTCAACTTTTTCTTTTATCTCATGAACTGCATCCTCTAATATTAAAGTTTGTACACAGGTTTTAAATGTTGTGGGACCAAAATTACTACGTAGTGTTCTGTGCACTTCATAGTGCTCAAAGGTAAAACTAGTTAATATACTTCAATCAATAAAAACAATACAAAGTCTGGGATTGTGATTGGAACTGGGACTGGCCCTACTCATTTTAGATCTCTACTTTTTGCCACAGGAATAATAGGGACTCTTATGAAGAGTTAATGTCAGAATGGAAATTGAAATGAATCTTCATTGCTTTTTCTTGGATTGGTTTGCTAGTAAATGCAGTGCTCTACTTCACCTGGCTCAGGCTTCAACAAAAATTCAATTCAAATAATTTTTTTATATATATAAAAGTAATCGTAATCTAAAAATTTTAAAAAGATATTATATGTATCAAATTCAATGATAGATATAAGTTATAAATTAAGATATTCATGAACATTTATAAAGTTAAAAAATAAGAAAATTCGAACTTTAAAATTTTCTTTGGATACCTCAAAATTTTTTATTCTTTATTGAATAATTGATTAGTTACATTTATTGATAAAAATATATTTGATAGTATTAATAATTATGCAATTATTTATTTTTTAAAAAATACGAGAATTGGTTATGGATAATTATAATATTATAGTAAAATATTATTTCAAATTTTTGTTTATAAATTTTTTATATATTATAAATAGACACCCATAAAATATATTTTGGTTCTGCAGTTATCTAAACCTGATAAATATCATTTTCTGAAATTAAAACATTGGATTCAATTACATTCATTTTTTGAATAATAAAGATGTAAAAATTAATCAAACTACTTTAGACTTCTTATTGACTAAAAGTATATTTTATACTAACAAAAATAAACCCTCTTTCCTAAATATGCATTTTTTTTCATTATGAAATGAATTTTTTTAATAAAGTACCTAATTTATTGAATTATTTTTTGCTATCAATTTTAGGTGCACAATATTTTCAATTTAATTCTAAATTATTAACTTAAATATTGGTAAGGCCATAATCATAAACACTTGCCTCATCTTCTTAAGCTTTTTTTTTTTTTTTGGTTAATATACAAATTTTGGCCACCATCCATACCCAATGTTTTGTTCAAATGCTAGTAGAAATTTTTGTTGTGGTGTTCTTTGTTACTTTGCCACCTATACTTCTTTTTATTTGTGCTACACCCACTTTGACATATTTTTGTGACCAGCAATTTTCTAAATTATTATTATTAAAAATTACCTTTTTAAAGCAAGGGCTATTGTCCTATATAATTAATATAAAAAATATTTAATGTGGTATTTATATTTAAAAATTTTCAATCAAATATTCAATTTATTAATATATCTATCAAATAACTCAAATATTTAAGTTGACTGATTATAAGAGTTATATAAGGAATTATATTTTAAATAAAATTATCGCTAAAAATAAAATTTATATTATTAAAATTAAGCAGATAATCAAAGTATAATACCTATTCAAATATAATGGTATGACATAAAAAAAAAATCATGCATTTTGATGTTGATGAAAATAAAGTTTTATTCATTAAACACATTTTTAATTTTTTTTATTTTACAAAAGCAATAAATTAGTAGTTAAAATATAACCATTTTGTCTTTTGCATATTATTCAAAGAATTAAAAAAAAAAAAAAAAAGGGAAAAAAGCTTTTGAAAAATGCAAAATTTTATTACTACAACTAGAGGTATAAACGAGCCGAGCCGATTCGAGTAGTGAAAAGTTTGAGTTCGAGCTCGACTCACAACTCGGGGTTCGATATTCGATTCAAGCTCGATCGAGTTTTATTTTTTAAGCTCGAACTCGATTCGTGATCGAATTCGAGCTACTCGAGCTCGCTCGATTAAGCTCGATTAATATGTAAAAATAAATTCGATTCGTATATTCGACAAGAGTTCGATTATTCATATTCGAATTCGAACTCGAAATATTTTATTAATTAAAATAATAAAAATATATTTAAATATAAAAATTCGATTAGACTCACGAGCTACTCGAGTCAAATATAAAAATACTCGAATTCGATTCGATCGATAAATCGAGTTATTTGAGCTCGACTCAATAATAATCAAATCAAATTTGAATTTTTTTCGAATCGAACTTGAATAGCTTACGACCACTAATGTATCATTTACGCCCCTAACTAAAACTTTAAAACAATTTCTAATTTACTAAGCTGAAAGAAGCTAAAACCCGAAGACAGAAAAATCCGTTGTGAAACGATGGAAAAAGGTTTTGTCTTTAACACGACAAGACAAAAGAAGAAACCTCCGTAAAAATTAATAATTGCAAACGGTCAAATTTCCTTTCTGTCTTTCAGATCCGCCCAGATGCTCAAATCGTCTCTTCACCCTAACCACCAACTAAATTTCCCATTTTGTCCCTCCAACAACCATCACCGTCACCGTCAACGTCGTCGCCCCAGAAATCTATGTATAACAAAGCAACTATCATCTTATTTTCCTGTTCAGGACTGATCCTCGGCGCCGGCTAAATATAAGTGGAATAAAATAACATCTCAAATAAAAAAAATGCTGGTTCCTGGATTTCTAGGGTTCAACTGCGTCGTTCTGGTGTCGTTGCTGGTTGTTTTTCTGGTAATCCGGCATAAGTTGAGGAATGCGGCGGCGAGGAAAGAGGAGGTTACGAGGTTGCTCGAAATGGTCTCACATGAATCCGCCGTGGTAGAGGCTCAAGCCTCAGCCGAGTACGGTTATTATCCAAAGTACCAGTGTGCTGTTTGCTTTGCCCCAACTACCACGCGCTGTTCTCAGTGCAAATCTGTTCGTTACTGGTTTGTTTCTATTTTTCCTTTTATAGTTCTGTTTAATTTTGACCTAATTTGTACCAATAAAAATGTAATTTTGGGCTTTTTTTGTGGTCGGTAGAGAATAGGAGCTACTGATTTAGTTTTGAGAATTTATAGTTAGAGTAATTGCAACTGTTGAGGGTGAATTGAATGATAAAGATGAAAATTTTAGTGCGGCTTTGGAGCGGAATGGGGGGATAACTGTTTGAGGGGTAGATTCATCTTAGAAATGCACGTTGTATCATGTATGATATGCTCATCAGTAACCACTTCTGGGCTATTTATTGGAATGCTGTTTGCCACTACTTTCTTTGCTAGATACTTGTGCTTAATCTGTGCGTACTGCTTGGGTTCTGTTGTTCAGCATCATTCTTGCTGGTAAATGCGATCTTCAATGCCCTTTTATATTTATTTGTTTATTGATTTCTTTATCAGCACATAGCTCCATGATAAGAGTGGTTTAAATCTTAAATATGTAGAAGAGAAAGCCTGGTGTTAATTTTCAGTTTAGCTTGATTAAATTTTCATTCAATTAGTGGGCTGGTTTTATGAATCCCTTTCCTCTTCTTAGTCAATTTTTATGCTCTCATTCTTTTTTAAATTTTGGCTGTGCTTTGTCGTGTTGTTTTGTTTTGTGCTAAATTTTTTTATGACATATAACTCATCTTGAGAGTGCCACCTCGTTCTCTTTTAGAAGTGAGAGGTGAATGGTGGCATATGTCATGGTGGCTTGAAAAGAAAGATTACATTCTCTCTCTCTCTCTCTCTCTCTCTCTTCTTTCTTCTCACTCTCTCTCTTAGATTGCTTTGCAACTTAAAATACAAGATGTGTACATTTTCTTGTAAATATCTTTTTAATTGTACTGGATATTCGGGAATGTTGTTATGCCATTGTCATCATTTTGTGGCATTGAGTCTATTGACTTCTTCAGTTGTCCTTGTGTAGTTCTGGTAAGTGTCAAATAAATCACTGGAGACAAGGCCACAAAGATGAATGTCGCCCTCCAACTAATTTTGAAGTGATAAAACAGTCTGGAATTCACAGTAATGATTCTGTGGTGGAAAGTTTATGTAAAACATCTTCTGACACTTCATCAGTGGTAGAAAATGATGATGATGGTGATAATCATAAGCCTCATGAAGATGCCAAAGTGACACATAATGGTAATCTTATGTCTGATGATGTCCATCCTGCAAAAACTGTCTACAAGAAGTCAACCAAAACAGTTTCAGAAGAAATGTTAGTTACTGATGTATCCAAGAAAAGTAACTTAACATCCCTGAGCTCTTCAAGGCCTAAAACTGTAATAAATGATGGGGAAGAGGATTTGCAACTTTATGGAAGCAAACATGTCAAAACTTCATTATTTAGTGCTTCTGATGATCATGCATCTTCAGTTGCTGGAGGGCATTCTGTACCCAGTTCCAAGTCTGGCTTGCCTGCAAAAAGTAATGCTATCCCTACCTTGCCACAGACTGCTAGTAATGGCTTGAAAACATCAATGCGCAAGGTTGTCCAACAGTTTAAAGCCTCCAAACAGTCTAAATCCTCTCTTTTTGGTTTTGGTAATGAGGTTAGTGGAAAATATAATTACAAGGTATTGTCCTTATTACCATGTGTTTTTGTTGTGATTTTCATAGTTTTGCTATGTCATACGACTTGTGAGCATTTTTGGTTGTGGTTTGACAGATAATCTTTCCATACGAACTATTCATGGAACTTTACTCTTATAACGCAGTGGAACTGTGCCCATTTGGCCTTAATAATTGTGGGAACAGGTAATCTTGATATTTATATGGGTACTTATTTCAGCTTGTAACAAGTATTTGTTGACCAGAGAATGGTTTCAAGTAGTTTGCATTTTGTGAAATTTTTTAATGGTGGTAATTTGGCATACTGGAGCTTGTGCATAGCTCTTCACCTTTAAAGTGCAAGACAGGTAAAATCATACACTTGATGCTTAGATGTGATGTGTCATGGGGTTCTTTTTTTTCTTTTTTTTCCTCAAACTGTAACCCCCTTATGTTTGAATTGTTGTTTCTTCCTCTACTATGATTTGATGAGGCATGTTTTCTGTTGAATAATTGGTTTTCGAGTTGCTAATTTTGTACTTTTCCTTTGAAAATTACTGCAGTTGTTATGCTAATGCTGTGCTTCAGTGTTTGGCTTTTACTAGGCCACTTACCTCATACCTTGTCAGAGGGCTCCACTCTAAAGCATGCAAGTTTCTGTTCATGAACTTTTCATGATTTCATTCCTCATTCATGCCTCTCCTTTAATATGATGTTTATTGTTGCTGTGCAGGTCGAAAAAAGGAGTGGTGCTTCATCTGTGAGTTTGAATGTTTGATTTTGAAGGCAAAGGAAGGGGAGTCCCCTTTGTCCCCCATCCGGATATTATCCAAAATACAAAAAATTGGTAGTAATCTGGGTCCAGGGAAGGAAGAGGATGCCCATGAATTTTTGAGGTGAACCAATGTTAAAAGTCTTTTTTTTTTTCTGTAATTATATTCTATTTCGGTATAACCTTCTCAAATGTGAACTAGACTTCACATTAGTGAGATGGCAGGTATGCTGTTGATGCAATGCAATCTGTTTGCCTCAAGGATGCAAGGGCTGCAGGTCCACTAGCAGAAGAGACGAGTCTAATCGGCCTAACTTTTGGAGGTTACCTTCATTCTAAGGTTGTTCACAATTTTGATGCTTCATTGATGTCCATGTATTCATTGAATTTATTCTTATTCAATGGACACAAAATAATCCTGATTTTTGCTATGTCGTTATTGAATTATCATGATTGGGTTGTCAGATAAAGTGCATGAAGTGCCTAGGTAAATCTGAGCGGTATGAGAGGATGATGGATCTAACTGTTGAGATTGATGGGGACATTGGAAGTCTTGAGGAGGCACTTGCACAGTATACAACTACAGAAATTTTGGATGGAGAGAACAAATATCATTGTAGTAGGTTGGTTGCTTTTTAATGCACCGTGTCATTAATGTTGTTAAGGTTCTGCATTACCATGCTTCTTGCCCATTATGGCTTATTGTTAGATAGATGTCCTTCGTTCTAGCCTGTAATTTTATGCGCCCAGCTGCTCTAATGTATGTTTTGGGCCTTATGGCTTTTCCAGTTGTGTTGTCAACGAACTCTGACTTTGGTTATTTTACTGTCATTTTATGTTGGTGATTGAATCTCACTTCTGTGGGACATTTGATCCTACAGTGGGATTTTTACTAGGATTGTCATGCAATTGCTGCTGCATGTTCAAAGCGAAGTTCTAGGAGTCATTATAACTGTTTGGGCTTCTAGTGGTAAATTCTCCATCTTCTTTGAATCAGGTGTAAGTCTTATGTCAAAGCAAGAAAGAAGTTGACAGTATTAGAGGCGCCTAATATTCTTACCATTGTTTTAAAGCGGTTCCAGGTAGTTCTATGATGGCAAGTTTCTATTTTTGCACTTCCATGTGCCTTTTTTGAATGTCAACTCTTGCTTTACCATCTGTGGCTTTTGCAGTCTGGTAACTTTGGGAAGTTAAATAAGTCAGTTCAATTTCCTGAGGTCCTTGATTTAGCCCCATATATGAGTGGAAAAAGTGATAAGGCTGCATTGTACAATCTCTATGCTGTGGTTGTTCACTTGGATGTTATGAATGCTGCCTTTTCGGGTCATTACGTGTGCTATGTGAAGAGTTTCCGTGGAGAGTGGTTCAGGATTGATGACAGCACAGTATGGACCTTTACTTAATACATATGGAGATCTACCTATCTGAAGTTGTGAGATGTATTTTTGTACATAAATCTGACTTGTGCTGCCAATTTTGTAGGTAATACCAGTGGAGTTGGAGAGGGTCTTACTAGAAGGTGCATACATGCTCCTCTATGCGAGGTAATGTGATTTTGGGGCTTGGTTAGAGGAAATCCTTTTTTTTTTAGTTTTTTTTTTTTTTTCAGAACAAATAACTGTAGCTCTTCAAAATTTTAGCCGCTCTCCAAGGGCCTCGGCTTTGGTCAGAAACAATCTTGAGTCTCATGGTGTGAGGTTCAAGAAAAGGAATTTGGAAGCTGTTCCTTCTAGCCATAATACGTCCAAGACGAGATCTGACTCTAATGTTTCAAGGTTGGATCCCTCTATGATACAACGGAAACATAAGTATCCTTCTGATGCTTCCACCAGCAAGCAGTTGTTTTATCCTGAAGATTGGAGATTTTATTCAATGCAGAGGATTCCTCCGGCTGATTCTTCCAGTGAGAGTTCTTCCATTTTTAGCAGCTCCGATGCAAGCTCTTGCAGCACAGCAAGCACCAAGGACTCTTCCAGGAGTGAAGACTTCTCTGATTATTTATTTGGCGAAGTGGGACCTGAATGGTACAGCCTATATGGGATTTCATCCGATATGGACGCCGCTTCCTCTTATCATGGTCTTGATGGAGATTTGGGAGCAGAGATGGATGGCTGTGCTCGGTGGCTGGGAAGGGATGGGAACTCCACAGTTTTGTTCACTGACTCAAGAAGACACCGTAGGAATGGTACCAGTAGAGCCTCTAACTATGAGCAAGGAGGCTGGTCTAACCCTCATGATGTAAGATCATCCGGTATTTCAATAAGGAGAGCAAGCGTAGATGGATCAGCTCAAACGTTTTATTGAGGTTTGAGTTGACTTATAATCGAGCTTTCAGTTATTAACTTTATGATTATAATTCAAAAAGGTATAATCATCATTCTTTTCCCCATCAAATTACCATACTATCATCTTACTCTCCTTAGTCTGAACTGTGAAGCTTGCTGGGTGGTATCGTACCTCCAAATCAGAACTGACACTGTAATCAATCAGTAGGGGAACCTGTCCATGGGTCGTCGGCCGGCAGAGGTCTGTAAATCAGGCCAGCTGCAGCTCCAGGATGAAAGTTTAAGCCTAAGCCTCGTGTGGCTCAAGGCCCCGAGCTATGAAAAATGGGTTGCTTTGTTTAACGGGTTTAAAACGTCGTCGTTGCTTTGTGAAACAAAAAAGGCAGTTTGTTGAATTGACAAAGTTTAAAGCCACCAAAATGGCAAAAACAAGCAAATGCCAGTGTCAACAACTGTTTAGCACCACCTAGGTACTGGGACTGCCACAAGCTCAACCACAGCCTCACTTTTCTCCCTCTACGCCGCCGCAAAACAAATGGTCAACAGCACTAGCAGCTCTAGCACCGCCAACAATGAAGGCGCTTATACCACCATCACAGAAACAGTAACATTCGAGAAAGAAATAAAAAAGAGCAAATTCATTGCCATCGCCGGCCCCGTATCCGATGAACACTCCGCTCACTCTTTTCTCAATCTGGTCAAGGATCCGCGTGCCACTCACAATTGTTGGGCTTACAAGGTATCCAAATCGATGCTTCGTTTACTATTATCTGATTCAACTAGCTTTATAACGCGCGCGAATTAGTTTTATTTATTTAAATATGTCTTAATATATAAATTAATATATTTAATTTATATTGAAAATATATTTAAAATATAACATAAAATAAAATATCGATACGATATAAGTCACTGTCCTTTTTGCTTTTTTGAAATACTGTCGCATATATTTTAAATTTAAGAATGATCACATAATATGTGATATTTTTATTCGTAAATTAAAAAAATAAATAATAAAGAATTCTAAGAAATTTATGAAAAAAAATTATATTAAGATTTTTAAATTAAAAAAATATTTCTAACTTGTTAAATTAATGTTTGGAATAAAAGAATCATAATTGGAATAATCTTTACGATCCATTTCTATATAGCACAGCTCAAAATTATATTTTAATATTTGTTGTTGTATTCTATGCAAATTCAATTTTAAAATTTATAAGTACATAGTTTCTAAAAAAGAAAAGAAGTAGATACCAAGATATAAAATATTATAAAAATAAAAATAAAAAACCAAAAATGCATTTTAATTACCTAAAATTTAATTGAATCATAAAAAAGTTTGACATACCTTCACTATTATGATTGTAATCAAAATATTAAAAAAATATAAGAGTGCTATTTTTTAAAAAAGAAATAAATACACATAGTTGAATAATGAATTAAATCATAAGAGTAGTATTTACATACTTTCATTTGTGATCTTTAAATAATTTTTGAAAAAAAAAAAAAAGAAAAGAAAAAGTTAATAAATGTGTGTCAAAAGAAAAAAAAGAATTGTATTATTTTTGTACGAGAACAAAATCATGAAAAATTGCAAATTGAATTTTAAAAAATAATAATAATAAAACTATGCACCTCAAACCATTTATAAATTTTGAATGATAATTAAGATATCTAGATAACTGTTAAATTGGTAAATATTTTTTGAATTTAAACACAACATAATAAGTGATTTTTATGTTTTTTAATTTGAAAAAAAATAAAACTAAAGGATCATAAAGAAATTTATGAAGGTAAATATATTTTTTTGAGAAATTTAAATTTAAAAAAAATCTATAAATAGATAAAATTTGAATCAAATAAAATGAATTTATTAAATTTTAAATTTTTATTACTATTTAATCTATTCGAATTTTACTAATTATTCATTTGAATTCAGTATTGAATCTAGATGGGTAATTTTATCCATTTCATAACCCAAAATCTAAATTGGTTAAAATGTTATTTAACAAATTTTTTTGTTTGTTAATTTATTGGAACTTTTGATGATTGAATTTGAATAATATATAATAAATATTATCCTACTTGAGATATATTTTTCATTTTAGAAAGATATTCTCTTGATTTTACACATTTATATTTTAAATTTAAAAAGACATATCACTACTTTCAGCATTTTTAGATTTAAAAATATATTTATTTAGATTATTAGAAAATCCATTTTAAATGATAAAATATAGGTTTTTAAATTTAAAAAAATATTTCTAGATTATTTGAAAATTCATTTAAGATTTAAAAGGATAATATATTTAAATTAAATTTTGTTGATAACAATTTAAAAGTCATTTAAGTAAATATCGACGTAAACAAATTTTTTAAATAATTTTTTATATGTCAAAAATAAAAATTATTCAAATAAACATTTACGTGACATATTTTATTAAATTTTTATATATTTTGTAATATAATATTATATATTATTCGACACATGAATTTACGTGTCAAAAGGATTATAGGTTGGCGATCAGTACCAGTCAAATGATGATGGCGAACCTTATGGAACGGCGGGCAGGCCGATTGAATCTGCAATCTTTTCTTCAGGTTTAGACAGAGTCATGGTGGTCGTTATTAGGTAAATTGTAAATTGAAGCACTTTCGATTTTTAGCCATAATTAAAATGAAAAAGACCAAAAAAGGATTTTATTCTATTTTTATGAATTTCAGGTATTTTGGAGGAATTCATTTGGGATCAGGGGGACGTTTTAGGGCTTATAGTGGAGTGGCATCGGATTGCTTGAGAAATGCTCCGATTTGTCTTGTAAAATCTAAAGTAAGAACGGAAATAATTTTGTACTTTTACACGGGAAAATTTAAATTTTTAATTTTTATGATTTCAATATTTTGAAGTACTAATATTTGATTGGTACTTTTGGTAGGTTCCGATTGGTGTGGAGGTTCCTTTCGATCTTTTGGGAGCTTTATACCATCAGGTGAGCATTGTTTTCGATTGGAATTATGCCTCTTTTTTATGTACATTGATGTTTTATGGTTGGTCTTAAGAGTCTGTTAGTTGTATACATATAGGATGTTTTTTGTATATAAAATTATAATAAGATAAGATAAAATGATAATATGAATAAAATTAAATTAAATAATATCATCTTAATATTTGATGTGTTCAAGGATTATGATAGAATAATTTATTTATTGGTTAAAATTATTTTTTTAAAATTTATATAATTTAAATTATTGATATAATTTTTAAAAATATAATAAGATACATAAGTTTAATTCTATAGATTAAAAATAATCATCTCAACTTTGAGAGGATAGAATCATTCTATACTAAAAGAGTAATTAATGCTTCTTGTAATACTATCATTTTCTTTAAATACAAATCAAACATAATATAAAATGATTATTATCATATCCTATTCATCATCCTATGCACTAAACATGACCGTAAAGTTTACAAATAGAATGTACAAAAAGTTTTCTTTCTTTTATTATTATGCTAAAATTTTACTTAATTTGAACCCGGAACATAATTTAATTAATTCATACAGTCATTTTGAGATAGCATTTAACAGATCTGGGATCAAATATCATTACCAATAACCCCTTTTCCTATCCTCAAATTGCCGTCTCCTTTATACCAAAAAAATATTTTGCTTAATTTAGTTTTTCATTTGATTATCGCCATTGGAATGCTTATGATTGTATAACATCCTGAGATATCTCTTTGCTTGTTTCCTCTAATAATGGCTTCTTTTTGTAATAAATCAAGTCTTTTCGTGTTCATTTCTAAGTGGTAGCTGTTTATCTGAAATTGTGTGAGTAATATTGTGACTTTCTCAAATTAATCTTTTGCTGGGATAAGTGTGTTAATATTAAAGGAAAGTAGGTTTCTTTCATTAAGAGATAGGATAATAGATTTTGCATATATCTTTGGATTTAGGTACATTAATATAATAACTACTAGAAATTGGTGTATGCAAGTTGCATTAGTGAAATTCTTTGAACATTGCATTGCTTCCGTTCGCTTATTTATTTACATGGTTTTATTTGCCCAACAACGGGACCTTCAAAATGTATCACATGGTGTATTGAATGTTTGACTGTATGGGTCATCTTGTTCTTCTTGGCTGCAGTTGCAATCTTTTCAAGTTGAGGACATCGAAGAGGATTATGATAATGGCAAAGATGGGATCACCATTGTTTCCTTCAAAGTTGATTTTGATCGGGTTGAGAAACTAGAAAAGGCTATCAAAGATAATTGTAGCAGAGAACTTGTGCTCTATAAGCATTGAAACTGACTCTGCTCTTTACCATAAAGATAGAGTTTGTCAACAATTTTCCCCGCTCTGGTGCAACAGATGTAGAATTGGTATGTGCTATAAATCTCCTTTTCCCTGCTTAAGAGCAGATCAAAATTACATATTTGTTCGTTTGGGAAAATAACTTGTGAAATTAGTCAAAGGTAGCCTAAGAAACAACTAATTCTTTCCTGCCTAGAATAAAAGTTTGCTCTTGGATATGTCTTGATTAACTTATTGTACACAGTTTTCTGTTTGACAGCAATAATAATATCATGGGAACCCCTTTTTATAGACTTCATCACTAGTTTTAGTTTATAAGTGCTGAGCTATAACCCAATATGTTGATGCCAGCCAAGAAGTGTCTCAATGGAAAATAGACTTCTTTCTGAGGGAAAGAGGAAAAGAAAGAACAATTGTTGATTTCAGGATTTCTCCGGCAATTTGCCCGAGTCAAAATTTCATGTCATTCTCTTTATCGCTTGCTTTTATCGAGTTTGGTAGGATGGTGCGGAACATGTCATACTGTTGGCTGATGGGCCTTCTTCGATGACTATCAGCAATTGTATGTTTCACAGGATTGCCTGTGTTTGCCTCAGACTTTGATTCAGTCGGTGGAAACTATTCGTTGCGAGAGGCTATTTTGCCTTGAGCATAAGGCTGAAACATCGTAAACCCCTGGAGGATGTTGTGTATCTTGTTCAAACTACAAGTATAAAAGCCGAAGATAAAACAGATAATTATTAGAAGACTGCTTGATAAAGGAATGAGAAAATGGTAAGAACAGTTAACCATTGCCTGTTTCAGACGAACTGTGGCTATGGGGCAGATCAGATTTTTCCCTTGGAGAACTGTTCCTTGGAAAGTAGGGTGTTCACGGTTTGATTTTAATTAAATTAATGGATCGAATCAATTTAATTTAATTTTAGTTAAATTAATAAATTTAATCAATTTAATTTAATTAATCGATTTGTCATTAAATTAATTTTGATTAATTAATAAAAATAATTTTAAAAATTTTTTAATTTTTAATTAATTTGATTTTTAAATCAAATTAATTGAAATTTTAATTGAAATATAACAAAATTTAAATATAAAATAAAAAGTACATAAAATAAATCATTTTATTTTATAAGTTGTCAAAGTTTTTAATATAATACTTTGATATTTGAATTTTTTAGATAATTTTATTTAATTTATTTAAAATATAAAAAATTAAGAGTTTAAAATATAATTTAATTTAAATTTATTTATTATTCAATCAATTGAAAAATAATATTTAATTAATCAAATTAAATTCAATTAATTAATTTTTAAAATTAATAAATTTAATTGAATTAAAAAAATAAAATAAAATAATTTGATTAATTTAATTTAAAATAATTTAATTTAAAATTAATTGAATTTACCGGATGAACATCCTTGTTTAAAACAGACAAAAATAGACCCGTAATTATTGCTACGGAAAAACAAATTTTTACTCTATGGAGAGATTGGGAGAGATTTCGATCCAAAGATTATACGTTTTACAGCTAATTAATAGGATAGGCATATGCATGCAATAAAGAGAGGACGAAATAGAGATATCACACCTAATAAATGAGAATTAATGCTGATTTTATGGTATTTCTAAGATCTTGTAATCTGAAATATTTGATATAATCTGACATTTAATTCTAATATATTGGAATTTGGAATTCTTGATTTTGATCATAATCCTGTTGGATTGTTTCGTAATTTTATAATTTCATTTATTACTCAGAAATATTCAATAAATAAAAATTGAATTTTAAAAAATTATAATATCCCTTTTTTTTCTTTACACTGCAACTTTTGAAAAAAAAAAAAAACTAATATTAAAGTTGCCACAGTATTGCCATTTTTTTGGCTCTTTGTTATGGGTAAAACTTATATAAAAATTTTTAAGTGAAATTTCATTTTAAAAATAATTTAATAAAAATTTTAACAAAAAATTTAAATTGATAGATTAATAGAGTTCAATGTAAATATCAATAATATATAAAAAAATAATAATTTAAAATAATTTTATAATATAAATTTGATCGATATTTATTTATTAGTAAAATGTTTGTCAATATTTTTATTAAAAATGTCTATTTACAAATATATACTAAAATTTATTGAAATTTTTTTTTAATTTTATATATTTAATCTATATAACAAAAATTTTCAATTTATCGATTTTAATTTTTTTTTTAATTTTAATTTAATTATTTTTAATTAAAAATTTTACAAATTTCACATAAGACACTTCATCTTAGCATTTTCCCTTTATTATTACCTAGCTTAAATACAAAAAATTTGTTTACATGATTTACCTGGCAACAAATGAAAAAGAAGTTCAGAGCTTAAGATACCTATAATGGATAAACACCATGTTAAAACGATGCACTAATATACAGACAACCTGATATTATTATCTAAAGAGTTATGGCCCATTTGACACAAACAAACAAGAGGATGAAGGCTTTTGGTAAGTAGAGAATAAATCTAAGTTACACAATACAACAGGGGATTCTGTTAAGTTACTAGGAATGATCAAACACCTTTTCATTTTCCCTGTCTTGAATGTTTTACCCCTGACCCATGAAATGCCAGGAATTCTATATGCAAGCAATTTCCTTTTTCTCATCGAGCAGCTTCTGATAAGGAACTCTCATGCTCTTTCCATATGATATTATCTACCCGTACTATGAAGCTACTAATTCAATTTAACTGCCATTGTCCCCTCTTTGTTAAGTTCCATTGGCACCAATTGTAACAAACTAAACCCGCCAAAAGATCAAAAAATTTTCCTTCACCTTTCTCACAAGCATGACAGAATTAGCAAGTTCAACTACAATCAAAGACTTGTGAATAGATTCAAAGATCATAAGATAAATGCATAAGAAAACCAGCTTAACATGACAAATTGCTAATATCGCCACCTAGGAAAATCAAACTCTATCAGTGCAATATCACTACTAACAGGGATGACTGAATCTAAACTGGACTTTCTGAAAATTTAATAACAAAATAAATGGGAAGTATGAATGAAGCTAGAAGACCAATAAAGCCAACGAGAACATCTCATGAGAAACATGAAATCTGAGAATAATGTATTAGATTAGAAGACTTCATTTCCATTCGCCTGGAGTCCTCCGGTTTCATCACTCTTCTCCTGATAGAAAAGAAGATTCATGTTGAGTTTCCATAAACCTTCACCCTATTCAATTTTTTCCTTTTTGAAAATGGACCCCGAAATCAGTGGCTAAAGCTGGTCAAAAACTGTCTGAGAGACAAGCATGGACACCACCATAACCATAAGTATGCACAAATTCATTCTATTTCACAAATAGACATTTTAATCACATGGAACTAACTTATTTTTCAAATAGGCACTTTCCATACTCGATCTCCATCAAAAGCAAAACTTATTTGAGCACAGGTCTTGCAGCACTTAAGAAATATTATCAGAAAAATTCGGCTTGAATTCTCATTCAAGCTAAACTGCTTGATGGGTAAAGACAAATGTCAACTAAATCCTACCAAATTGGTTCAAGAAACAGAGGTTGACACTATAATTGGCAATCATGACCCTTCTAACATACAAGTCAAGCAAAAAGAGAATAGCAGTTCCTTCAAGGACAAATAGTTAAACATGAGATCAAAGCACATAATCAAGAACCAAAATACAGTTTCCATTACTAGGACCATGAAATAACAACCATGAAATAAAAAGAATTCTCAAGATTCAAGAACCATAGCCTAAATAATGTAATTTATTTTCAAGTATGAGTTAGAAAACACATTCTCAGCACCCTATACATAAAATTTTTCCTGTTTAACTGTTTGCTGTTAAAACCATATAAAAGCACAGACAGGAATCCTTTTACCAGCACCCGAAAAACTATACTCTCCCCATTGACTTCCATCAACAACTATCCCTTAAACCAACATATATATCATCATCTCCCTCAAAGAACTCTAAGTCATCCTCGTTACAACCACCATTCTGATCACTTCCACTTCCAAACCTTATTCCTCCATCACTTCCACAATCAATATCTGCAAATCCATTCTCAAACTCCACATTCACTTCCACAACCCTCACCTTCTCAATCGTCCGCTTTACCCCTCTCCCCATCATTTTCTTTGTATTCCTCGGCACGGATTTTACTTTCTTCATTACACCCCTTCCTTCACCATTGCTCAAACCTTCTGCTTTCACTTTACCAGCCTCATTTTTCACATCCATTTCCTTCTTCTCATCATCACTATCATCAGAAATCTCCACAACATCATGCCTTTTCCCAATATCTCCCCCAGCTAGCTCTTTCTTGTCACTAAACAAACCATTCCCAGAATAACCTAATGGAAAAAACCCATATCCAGAATAATACTCTCCATCTTTCCCGTTCACCAAGAAACGTTCCGGCGGTGCAGCTACCGCCAATCCATGAAATCCTTTTCTACAGTTCTGACAAAGCAAGCAGCACTCTTCATACTTCTTTTCATACTCGTACATGTAAAAACAGTATGGACAAACAGTCCAAAATGTGCCCTTTTCATTTTCACTCTCTAAATGAACTTTTTTTGGCTCAAATTCTCCACTTTTTTCTTGCTTCAAATCATTTTTTTTAAACCCATTGCCATTGCATCTCATGTTAAAAAAATGGGTTTCCTGACTTCGGTCGTTTGCAATCTTTTTTTGGACGGTTTGGTCACGGTCTTGCGGTCGATTGAAACCGCAGATAGCATCTTTTTGAGTAAAAGAGAAGTTTTCAGTCATGGTGGCTGAAGTCTTTAAGAGAACGGAGGGCTTGCGTTAGGAAAGGCGTCGTTGGAACGTAGAACCGTCGGCCGGCAGTGGGTTTAGCCAAGTCCGACTAATTCGTGTAGGATTCTTATCGACGAGCAAGGGAGCGTTTTGGTTTTATATAAAGGATTGTTTCTTGTGGGTAAATAAATGGGAATCGAAGTGAAGTACGTGAAATTTTGAAATACCAAATGTAGACATTGGGTACTAAGCTAGGATATGAGGGTGTTTCGGTGATTTCCTTGTAATTTGCACCCATTGCGACGGCGGTTAGCGACTGGGAAGCAGCAGGGACGTAATTTTTATGCTTGAGCAACAAGTATATGAGGGTGTTTTGGTCAATATATTTTTGTTTTTCTTTTCTTCTGTTTTCTTACGTTTTATGCCATTTTTTTTTCATGGATTTTATAAAAAAATAAACCAAATCATCATCTTATAGATAATAAGAATAATGTAAATAACTTTTTCTACATTATTATCTCATTTGTTTTTTTTATCCTAATTAACTAATATCTTATTTAAAATAAAAATCAACCAACATAGTGTTTGTAACATCATTTAAAAATTTAAGATTATGAAAAATTATAATAATAATGCCATTCAAATTTTATTTAATTAATTTATGTAATTATTTTTAAAAAATTCAATAACTTTAAATTTAATTTAATTTAAAAAATGTTGTTCCTCTTTGGATGAATCTTTTTCCTAAGATTTTTTATTGTAAGATCACATTAATTGATCATGTTAGAGAATCAAATAAAAAAAATGAGTAAATGACTTCCATTACTATAGAGAATCATATTACGTTATTTCTCATTAAGTCAATAAATTGTTAATAAATTAAATGATATTATCTCATTAATATTTAAATGAATAAAAGGATTTAATCTCCTATATACTTATATGATCTGATTAAATCTTGAGTAATTGGGCTACAACTGATGTAATGGGATGGACAAATGTAACAATTTCTCCTTTTATGTTTGTTGAGTTGGTTTTTTTGCAAACGTAGGATTATATGTTTGATCAATTTATTTGCCCAAAATTTTTGAATTTTGAGTTTTTATGTTCATTTTTAGGTGATTATGTAAGTTAGTTATAATTTTTAAAGTTTTGTCCACTTGTAATAGAACTATGTTACGACTTTTTATTAATATTAGCTTTGTCACTAATTTTATCATTTTTTTTATTTTTAATAAAATTGAATTTTGGTTTTAAAAAAATAAATTCTCTTTTTAAGAATGATATGACCAAAAATCCATACATTTGTTAAGGCATTGTCATAGTTGGAGAATCCCATAAAAAATTATGGGTTAACTTTACAAATATACTCTGTAATTAAGGCTAAAATGAAAATGCCTCATGAGATTTAAAATATGACACTTAACTACCCTATGATTTGTTTTATTATATTTTTTACCCAAAATCGTTACTTTTTTCGTTTTTTTTTCTTCTTCATCTAAATTCATGCTCTCTTTCTAAAAATTCATACTCTTTCTTTCTAAAATCAAATCAATTCTTTCTCTAAACTCATACCAATCCATAAACAACTTTCAAACTACCAGAATCTCCATACCACCACCACCATTATAAATTCACATCACTATCAGACTTTATCCTTAATTTATTCAATGCCTTTTTAGAACTTAGCATACCTCCATCGTCGCAACTACTATCAGGCAATTACCAATCGTCACTGTCAATCGTCCATCAGTTCTAATGTCCACCTAAAAGTTATTTCTAAAAATGATTTAATCTCTTCAGTTTTCAGCTGAATGGGTTTTTAAATTTCTAATTGTGTTTGCCTATAAAGTTGTTTGCCTAAATAGAATATGTTTGCTTTGGTTATTAGGCAGTTTTAGGCTTTAGTTACTAGATGAATGTGGATTTCATGACTGGGTGGGTTTGGAAATTAGGTTTGTGTTTTAGTTGGACGATGGTGATGATTAGGTGTTGGATGTAGAGGCTTGGTAGAGATATGTGTTATTGATTTCTGTATAGTTTTCAGCCAAAATTGTGGTGGTGTTGAGCAACTGAGGTAATGGTTATGGGTGATTAAGGCAGAAAAGTATGATTTTTAAGAGAGAGAAAATGAGTTAAGGATGAAGTCTAGTGATGATGTGAACTTGTAATGGTTGTAGTGGTGTGAAGGTTTTGGTGATTTGAAAGTTGCTGTTTATAGATTGATTTGGGTTTAAAAATAGAATTGGTTTAATTTTGAAAGATATAATGAATTTTTAAAGAGAGAGTATGAATTTAAATGAAAAAAAAATGAAAAAATTAAAAAGAAACGAAAAACGTAACAAATTTGGGTAAAAAAATAATATAACAAATCATAGGGTATTAAGTATCACGTTTTAAATATCAGGAAACACTTTCATATTGGTTTTAACCACATGGTATATTTATAAAATTTACCTTAAAATTAATTCATGTGTCAATAAATATGTCGATATAATATTATTATTTAATATGTCATGCTTGTACGACTAGTAAAAGTTAAAAATATAGCATGATGTGATACATGATCCAAAATTTTTATAGGTCATGTACATGATATGATATTATTTTTTGTTTCAAATCAAATCACTTATATCACCCATTTTATTTTATTCTAAGTTTTTCCATAATCAATTTTAAGTAATATATATTTTAGAGTTTTATTTGCTTTGGAAATTGATAAATCAAAATGAAAAAAAGAATTATAATTTTATTTACTAGTAATTTAAATTAACTTCAAAAATATATCATGTGGTTTGGACTGAAATAAAAGTGTCCCCTGAGGTTTAAAATGTGACATTTAGCTATACTATAATATATTATATTGTTGTTTTATCCAAATCCATTACTTTTTTCGTTTCTTTTTAATTTGTCTTTTTTTCATATGAATTCATACTTTTTCTCTAAAAATTCATTTTCTTTCTCTAAAATCAAATCAGTTCTCACTTTAAACCCAAATGAATCCACAAATAGCAACATTCAAATCACTAAAACCTTTACACCACCACCATTATAAGTTCACATCACCACCAGACTTAATTGATTTTATACTCTATCACTCTAAATATTCATATTTTTTCTCAAAAAAACCATTATATCTCTCTAAAAATTCATACTTTCTACCTTAATAAATTCATACTTTCTACCTTAATCACCTACAACTATTACCCCAATTGCTTAATGCCACCATCAATTTAGCCTGAACTACATAGAAATGAATAGCATATATCTCTACCAAACCTTCACATCCAACACTTAATCACCACCATCGTCCAACCAAAACACAGACCCAATTTTCAAACCCCACCTAGCCATGAAATCCATATTCATCTTGTAACCAAAGCCTAAAACTACCTAGCAACCAAAACAAACATATTTTGTTTAGACAAACAACTTCATAAGCAAACATAATTAGAAATTTAAAAATCTATTTGGCTGAAAACTAAGGAGATCAAATCGTTTTTAGAAATAACTTTCGAACGACACTAGAATTGATGGATGATTGACAGTGGCAATTAGTGGTAGCTGACAGCAATTGCGACGATGAAGGTATGCCAAGTTTTGAAAGATATTGAATGAGTTAAAGATGAAGTCTGGTGGTGATGTGAACTTGCAATGGTGGTGGTGGTGTGAAGATTCTGATGGTTTGAAGGTTATTGTTTGTGGTTTGGTCTGAGTTTAGAGAGAAAATTGATTTGGTTCTAGAGAAAGAGTATGAGTTTTTGGAGAAAGTATATGAATTTAGACAAAGAAGAAGGAAAAAATAAAAAAAGAAAAAAGTAATGATTTTAGGTAAAAATAATAATAAAACAAATCATAGGGTAGTTAAGTGTTACATTTTAAACCTTTAGGGATACTTTCATTTCAACCTTAATCACATGATATATTCATGAAGTTAACCCAATATTTTATAAGTAAATTTAAGGATATAATTTAATTTTTATAAATTGTTAATATAAATTACCAAGAAAGTAAAAAAGTTTTATCGTATGATAAGAGTAACATGAAATATAGCTCAAATATCAACGAATTAAGTTCATTTATAGCAATTATGACCTTACATGGCATGGCACATTAATGCTTGTGATCCATGAGGTGTTAACCCATGTGTCACATGCTCACATTAAACACTTTGATGGGTCATGCCATACCGATTCAATAGGTCTAAAACCTCTAACCTAGTAATCTACAAGCATATAAATTGTGCCTGACATAATCTGTGACTATAACAATAGATCGTGTCAAATTAGGTTGTACCATAAATTGTCCAATCCATTTGACACATCAAAAATTATACTAATAGTGAAATTTTTAAACTCCACTATCAATATTAAATAAGGTGACATATAAAGTATTGTAAAAAACTAAATAAAATATGTGACAATCTCTCATTACTATTCATAAAATTAAAAATTTTTAGTGTACCTATATTAAAAACAAACTCAATTTATAAATAGAGCCTCGTAATTTCATAAAATATAAGTTGTGGTCCACTTTTCAAACTTAATATTCCAAATTCATTTCTAGTTCCATTGACAGTAGTTTTATTATTAAAGCTAAAATGATGAGATAAGGGGAAAGAAAAGGCCATGCTTCACTTTGATTCTATTTATTTTTTAGAAAATGAAATTTATATTTTTTTATATTTATTCGGTAGAAAATTATTTAATTAATGAAAAATGATTTATTAGTCATTGAAAAAGTGATTTTTTTTAAAAATTATCTTTCCCTTTTGAAAAAAAGGAGATAATTTTCAAAAAAAAAAAAAACCCTATTTATGAGTATGACCATTTACTAAGCTTGTGAGTGTAATTCAACTTAAATTGGACCTTAAACATATTTTTTAAGCTCAAACTCAATTTGACTTAACACGAAATATTATTTTATTAATAAAATATTTTATTTAAATTTAATTAAAATATTAATATTAAAAATCTTTCAATATTTTAATTTTAAATATTGTTATAGTTTTTATTCAAGTAGAACATTGGATATGAATGTTTAAGCTTGGATTTAATTTAATATGACCTAAAATAATATTATGTTGATGAAAAGTGATTTTATTTTATTTTAATTAAAAAAATCAAATATTAAAATGTTAATATTAATATTGAAAGTTTTCTAATATTTTAATTTTAAATATTTGCATTTTGTATATTATTAAACATAAACATTTGTAATATTTCAATAATAAATAGTACTATATAGTTAATTTAATAATAAATATTGTCTAACATAATAACATTATTTTCATAATATGACTATTTTTAATTATTTTTAATATTTTTAATTTAAAATATATTGTTTTTATATTTTATTCAAAAATATCTTTAAATTACTATTTTAATAATAAATATAAATAAATAATACATATGCTATAATTTAATAATAAATATTGTCAATATAAAATATAACATTTTAATAGTAATTTTTTTAATATTTAAATAATAAATAATAATATTATATTAATAGAAATAATATTTCAAGGTAATGCTATTTTAAATATTTTAAAATATTAATATAAATAATGATTTAATGTTAAATATTAGTTATTAAAATACTTAATAATTTTAATAATTAAATTATTTTAATATTTTAATAATAAATTTTTTAAATATTTTCATAATTATGTTAATATTATTTGAATGGAAATCACTTCCTTGTGTAAATTAATTATGGTTATTATAGATCTAGTATGTCTAAGAACAATATTAACTATTTTATACACTTAAAGACTATTTTATTCAAATAAAATCCTACAATTATATTATTATCGTCATAGTTTGTAACTTTTGTGATTCTTTTTTTTGTAAAAATAATATATAAATTATTTTATTAGATTCTAAGTTTTTAGGATATTATCATAAAGATTTTATTGTGTTGGATTTTTTAATTATTAATTTTATATTTATGTATTTATTATTATATTATTACTATTATTACAAATGAGTGTAAAAATATTATTTAAATAATTATATGAAGAATATTACTTTAATGGAAATATTAATTTTAAAAAAAATTCAAACATTACAAATATTCTTTACATGATCAATCAAATAATAAAAATATCAAAATTTTCAAAAAAAATAAATTTTTTTTTTAAACTATTTTCAGTTAGACAAATGAAGTGTAAAAAGAGGAATCTTTTTCCCTGTCGAATGCAAAAGTCTTCTCCTTTTCATAGTTTCTTTCTTTCTTTGCGCAGCCCAAACCCCAAAGCCAAATTCTTCTCTCTCTTTTCTCCGTGTCTCAGCCATTGATTGATGACATTTTCACATGCCCCGAAACAAAAATACCCAACCAAGCTCTCTGGCACCGAACCCAACACCCAAAGCCCCACCGAAGCAGCTGGTAATAAATATGAAATAAATAGCCCTTTCTAACCAATCATTATTTTTTTCCTCTTCTTCTTCTCTCACGTTCCTTTTACCACCTTCAAAATATAATTTGGGTTATATTTTTTGTTTTTGGCATCAGTGTTTTGGATCTCAAATTGGGTCTTTTTCATTTCATTTCTTCTCTTTCTTTTATTAGGGTTTTGTCTCTTACTACTTAAGACTAAATTTGGCAATATGCCGCCATTTTCAACCCCAGACTTGGCCCCTTCTTATATTTCCTTTTTCTTTTTAAGTTTTAACTAATTCTATTTATAGAAACTTCTCTTTGTTGTTTTGTTGTTGGGGTTTCCAGTTTTAATTGAATACACGTTGCGTTTTCCCTAAATAGAAGTTGATTGGAGAAGTACCCTAAAAAGAAGAACCAGGAGAAGAAGTAAAAAAGAATGGCAAGAGAGAAGATTCAGATCAAGAAAATTGATAACGCTACAGCTAGGCAGGTGACTTTTTCCAAAAGGAGAAGAGGGTTGTTTAAGAAAGCTGAGGAGCTCTCTGTTCTTTGTGATGCAGATGTTGCTCTTATTATTTTCTCATCTACTGGCAAGCTCTTTGAGTATGCTAGCTCAAGGTACCTTCCTTCTCTTTATTTCTCTCCTTGTAAACACTTGTTTTTACTTCTTCATGTACAAAAATCGTGTTGTAGTTGCAAAATTATAGTCTTTTGAGTGAGAAAAAAGGACAAAGTTTTGGACTTTGAGAAAAACGATGACCTTTTCCTTTTTTATGCCTGTATGCTTTGTTAAGATCTTTGAGAGGATGAGGTTTGTTCTTTCTTCTGTATTTTTGGGTTTTAAAAATAAAAACCTGAAAGGTTGATGGAAGAATGAAAAGGGTTTTTGAATATTAGGATATGGAAGAGAAGTATTTAATTAATGTGTAGCTTAGATATTTTGTTGTTTGTCTTGGAATTCTAAATTGAACTCTGAGAAATCGATGAGGAATTGATCTAGTATTTTTTTTTTCATTTTATGTGGATCTATATATATATATATGTTACTGTACGGGAAAAAGATAAGCTTGAATTTATGTTGCTGCTGGTGTAGAGACTAATGATGTCAGGTCGGGACTTTGTTTTGTTTCTTTATCGTCTGTATGGTTTACTTTACCCCTTGGTCTTATGTTGATAAGTAGTTAGCGTGTGTGTGTATATATAACGCATAGGTTGATTGTTTGTTTCTATTAAATCTTTTCATTCTTTTAATCTTTTTCTCATTTCTGAAACTGTAGGATTACTTTCTCTGGCTCTCATTTAAACAAATGATCTTTCAAGGACTGAAACACATTTTTTCACCTGAAATTATTGTTGGAACCCCCTTATACTGTATTAATTTGACAATAATAGTCTAGTATGTTTTAAAAGAAAAGGCGTTCATCTAAGTTAACCATATATATATACATACACAGACGCACTCTTACTTGTGGTTATGATATCTGCTAATAGCTCTTAGTTGGAAGAACCAACAGTCAGAAACTATGAAGTGGGAAACACTACTTAAATAAGTTCAATTTGGGATGTCATTATGGGTTTATGATGGGAATTCCCTAGTACTGTGGAATATCGTAGATTCTTGTAAACCGAACCTTTGAACAGCTTTTTGGTATATGAATTATAGACTTTAGCTTACCCTTTTTTTTAATCCATTTCATGCCGCCTCTCTCACCCTTTGTGGTCCAAGTAGAACCATGACCATAATTGAACTAGTTTTGATAGGAACAAAATTTATATGAAGTTTTTTAAGTGAAATTAATGAAGTTTCTTTTTTAAAAATAATTTAATAAAAAAAATTCAAACTAATAGATTTTAAGTTTAATGTGAAGATCAATAATATATAAAAAAAATATTAAAAATATTATTTATAATTTAAATTTAATCGATACATATGTAATAGTAAAAATTTTATCAGTATTTTTACTAAAAATATCTATCTAAAAATATATATTAAAATTTTTTAAAATATTACACAATTTATATAACGAGATCTTTTAATCTATCGCTTTTGATTTTCAATTTTAATTTTTATTTAATCGTTTTTAATAAGGAACTTCACGAATTTCATCTAAAAAACTTTATCTTAGTCAAAATAGACGATTGCTTTGTTTGGGAATCATATTGAACCTAAGTTAATGGATGATTAGATGTCAGCCTTTTAGCGCAAGTATGCTTTTGGCTTATCCTAACATGCATGCATGCATATTTCAATTATCATTACTTCTAGGAATTCACATTTTTTAATGTAGGAAACAGCATTGAAAACTTTGTTTTTTTGTGGCAAGATGTTACATTATTTCTACTCAAAATTTGATGGGGAACTTGACTTATACATGATCGAAATGTAATGCCTGCTAAGTATAAGAGAGAAAATGTTGGAAACTGTTGTTAGGAATTGAGATGATTGATCATGTTCAAGCATTTAGAAAATCAGAAAGCTAAAAGGGTTTGGCAAACAAAAATCGTCAATTTTCACTGCATTGCTCAAGATTTTGTCAAGAAGGGAACAATGTGATGGAAAGAAGGATAAACCGAATAAAATCAGCAAAAAGTAATTGACAGATGACAACCTTTTGTAAAATGGTAGAGCCTTTATATGTTTAAAAGATAAAAATAAGTTAAGGTTTCATTGTTTGTTTCAACTCTTATATTTGAGGTATTAAACCAAAAGAAAGCTGACCTAATCATAAAACGAAGAAGATGATCATGACAGCAATATCAAGACGAGCTCCCACCTTAATGAGCAAATGAACCATACTGGTTTTGTAAATTGTCAATTTGGCAATAGGAAGTTGAATCTCATTAATCTCACCTAACTGAAGGTTATTGGTTACGTGGAAATAAAATTAAATAAGTTTATGGTTGATTTATGAAGCTATCCTGGATATGACCCTATGTATATAGCTAAAATGATAGCATTGATATGCATGTTTGTTTATTGCATCGGTATTTTGTATAGCATGGAGAACTTATAATTTGTTTCTATGGCAATGTCCAATTATGGTTTAAAGTTTACTTTTGTTAATTTTTGGAATGTCAAATTTCTTGCCTTTTGTTTGTTTTAATTGTTTAATTTGGGTGGTTATACTATTTTTGAATCCCCAATAAAAGTTAAATATTTTCATTCATTGTCATGTTGCGTTCATATTCTACTTGTGATCATGCATAAAGCTATAGCGAATTAATTTGGTCATTGTTTTGTTAAATTTTCTTGTCAAGTGCGTGACCACCTATATGGTTGGGTACAATGATGTAATTTAACAATTTAACTTCGCATTTCTTAGTGGTGGAGTAGGGGTAGGTTTTGTATTGCTTCTTAATGTAGTTCTAGTTTTCTTCCTCCTTTTTTGCCTCCCACTCCCTTCCTCAAGGAAAAAGAAAAACATTGTTTAAAATATCTTTCTTGACTAGAACTGTGAAGTTTTTTGGGATGGAACTACAGCGGTGTCATTGTTTTAACATACTTGGGAGTGTTGGCTTTTTTGAGGATTTTTTGTATGTATGGAAGTTAGTTGATTATAGCTTTTTTTCTTTTATATATTGTTCCTTTTATTCTTTTTGTTTGTGCCGAGTTCCGATCTCAGGGTATTCTTGGAAAGACAGAAGAGAAAGATGGTTAGAGACAAAGGCAAAGAGTGTTTCTTGCATTTGCATTCCAATGCGTAAGTCAAAATGAGCAAAATCAGAAAGAGAGTAGTAAGGAGAATTAGGAGTAGAATGGACTTGCCTTAACAGTGCCTGGACATTCGTATTTATAGATAAGTAATAGGAGACCATTAGAGGACAATAAGGACGCGGCCGAGTTGATATGGCATTGAGTATGTCAGACCGACCTGACATGTTAGGTCAGCACAAATGTCGGAATTACCCTTGGCTGTCTGTTGAAGGCTTCTAACATAGAGAAGACCATTATACCTTTTTGACCACTAAATGCCCTTAGAGCACCAAGGCTAGCCTTTTATCTAGATATTTTCGAATTCTTTCTTCCCAAGCGCTAAACTCTCCATTGATTTGGCCAACCACTAACTGAGAGTTAATATACACAGTTATATATTGAACATTCAGCTCGGTTGCCAATCTTAAACCAACCATTAATGCCTCATATTCCTCCTTCTTTGTTAGATGCTTTAAACTTAAATCTCAAGGCGCATGGATATTGCAATCCTTCCAAGTTAATTAGAATGAGGTTGGCTCATCCACTGTGGTTCGTGGCCGATCCATCAACAAAAAGCTACCAACATTCCTTGTCCAGGGTTTCCTCCTTTTTCTTGGGTTGTCTTTCAATGTGTACTGAGGTGAGCTTTACAACAAAGTCCGCTAGCATATGAGATTTTAAGGTCAACCTGGGTAGTATGTGCCGGTCGAACTCGTTGAGCTCTACTGCCCATTTGATTAACCTCCCTGACATTTCTAACTTCTGTAAGACTTGTTTTAGTGGTTGATCGGTCAATACGTAGATGTCATGAGCTTGGAAATAGGGCTTGAGTTTTTTGGCCAAAGTGACAATTGCATAAGCTAATTTTTCTATATTGTTGTAGTTAATTTCTGCCCTATCAATACTTTACTCACAAAATAGAGCAGTCTTTGCTTTCCCTCACTTTCTCGAACCAAGACCAAGCTAATGGCTTGGTCCGTGGTGGCCATGTATAAGTACAAGATTTCGTCGGGTCTTGGCTTAAACAGGATAGAAGGAGAGGATAAGAACTTTTTGATCTCTTCAAAAGTTTTTTGACACTGAAGGGTCCACCCAAAGCTAGAAATATTTTTGAAAATTTTGAAGAATGGCAAAGATCGTTATGCTGACCTGCACGTGAATTGGCTTAAGGTGGCTATTCTTCCAATTAGTCTTTATATTTCTTTTATCGAGGTTGGTGCCTTCATGTTTAGGATTGCCTAAACTTTTTTTAGGTTCGTCTTTATCCCCTTCTTATCAATCATGTAACCGAGGAACTTACCTTACGTGACCTCGAAAACACATTTGCTTAGGTTAAGCCTCATATTATACTTTCTTAGGGTGTTAAAAGTCTCTTTGAGTTTTCCAAGTGTTTGGTCAAGCTTTTGCTTTTGATTATGGTGTCATCCATATATACTTCCATGTTACGGCTGATCTGATTTTTAAACACCTTGTTTACCAACCTTTGGTAGGTCCCCTTTCGTTTTTCAATCCGAAGGGCATCACTTTGTAACAGTAAAGGCCTTTCTCGATAATAAAAGCCATTTTTTCCTCGTCGTCCTTTAACATTTTGATTTGGTTGTAACTAGAATAGACATCTATAAAGCTAAGGAGATCGTGCTTGGCACTATCATCCACTAGCCGATCTATGCTAAGGAGAGAAAAGTTGTCTTTTGTGCATGCTTTGTTCAGGTCGGTAAAGTCAATGCACATCTTCCATTTTTTGTCGTGCTTTTTGACCATGAGCATGTTGGCTATCCATTTAGGGTAATAAGCCTCCTTGATAAAGCCTGCTTGTAGTAATTTGTCGACTTATTCCTCGACAACCTTTCTCTTTCTGGGGCAAAGGTTCTCTTCTTTTGTCGAACTGGTTTTACCTCAGGATTAGTGTGTAGCTTGTAGACCATCACCTCGGTATCAATTCCGGTATATCAGATGGTGTCCAAGCGAACAGGTTAGCATTATCTCTTAGAAGTTGGATTAACTAAACCTTGTGTTGAAGTTTAGTTCCAATTTGCATATATATTTCAGGGATGTAATCCTAGACTGGTATAGCCATGAGATCTTCTATCAGTTTAGGTTGGTTTTTGTCCAAATCCAGTGTTTAGTCAATTATTTCTTTTTGTTCATTTAGGTCGAGACCATTTCCTGCGAAAACAAATCCTGTGAAAGCAAATCCTAACGTGATGATTAGTATGTTATTGGTAACTTGTTGAATATATTTATGATGAAATTGGTATGTATTTTTCATTTCAAGCTATATTTTGGTCGGCATATTAGTTCAGTCCAACTGACATGTGATTGTTTGTACTGGCTTGAGAGCTCGGTCATTTTCAGAGTTACTTAAATTCAAAAAATGGAACAAAAGATGTCTTTCCGTTTGAACTTGAGAGCTCAGAGCAATTTAAGAGCACGTTTCCGTCAAGTCAATCTTACGTTGTATGCTCTTGTTCGTGGCTTCCTGCTCTTTGTCGGTTTTTGCTATTTGCCCTTTTTCAGTGCTTTTGGTCTCGACCAAACTACCAGTTTGCTTTCTAGTCTTTTTTTTCATTATTGTGACATAACACTGTCATGCCGTGGTTTTGTCTCCCTTAACATCTTTGACTCCTTTGGGTGTTGGAAATTTCACTTTCAGATGGGGAGTTAAGCCTATGAGCGGCATAATAGATTGGCTAGGTTGGCCCATGTTGTAAACTGATGGGATGTCCATAACCATAAATTCTATGATGAAGGTGATAGTCCTCAATTCTGTTCCCAAAGAGATCAGTAGCTTGATGGTTCCTTTCATTGATATCTGCTCATTCCCAAATCCCACTAGTGTTGTGGGGATCGATTGCAATTGATCTTCACCAATTCCCATTTTCTTCATGGAGCTGTAATTCATGACGTTGGTCAAGCTCCCATTATCGAACAAGATTCTCTTGACTACATAATTGTATACTACGGATGTGATCACCATAGCATCATCATACGGGTGCTAGATCCCTTCCAAATCTTCCAGGCTAAATGAGATCAGTTTGTCTTTCTATTCTTTTTCTCTTTTTGTCGAAGTGCCTACGGCCATGATCATGCTTGGATTGAACTTTCTTTTTGCTGAGGTTGAGTTGCCTCCAATGATCTCATTAATCACCTCAGCGATCGACCTGTTGTTATCTATTCGGATTTCTTCTTGTCTCGGGTCATCTTCTCAGACTTCCTTTCTTCTATCTTTTAGCCTTCCTTCTCCGCCCCAGGTAGGCTTTCTTCAGTCTTGTCTACAATGGGTTTACCTTTTCTTTGCTGCTCTACAAACCTCTTCAATTGACCTTTCCTTATCAGAGCTTCGATCTCATTATTTAGGCCAACACAATCTTCAGTATCATGGGCTATGTCCTTGTGAAAGGCACATCTTTTAGTTGGATCCTTCCTTGTGTTCTGTTTGAGTGGTTTTGGCCATCTAAGGTTGGGATTTATTTCAATTTGCATTAAAATTCTCTCTCATTAGGTATTCAGTGCAGTGTAGTTCCTTTCTCCATTGGGGCTTTTAGCCCTATGTTGTCTCCCTTTCGGGGAGGATCGTAGAAATCCTTGCCTTTCTTATGATTGAAGAAGGGGATGAGCCTCTCTTATCTCGGTTACCGAGGAGGGGGATAAGCCTCTCTCACCTTGATTGTTTCTCGTTGTAGCTTCGACATTTATATATTTTTCCGCTACAAGTAGGACATCGGCTAGAGTTTTAGGTGATTCTAGTGACAAAGTCGACTTTAAGTGATACTTTCTATCATTAAATCCACTGGTCAGGGCAACTACAGGTTTCAGGTCTTTAACTTGCAGAGCTTTCACGTTAAAACGCATGATATAGCTTTTTAAAGATTCATTGCGACCTTGGTGTATTGACATCAAACTCAAAGTTGTCTTCTTCGTTCTTCGGCTACTTACAAATCGAGAGAGGAAATAGTGGTTGAGCTTTTTGAACGTTGTAATTAACCTCGATTCCAGGCTATTGTACGAGGATCGAGTTGTGCCCTTTAGAGTGGTCGCAAGGCCCTTACACATCAAAGCCTCCTTTACACTTTACATCCTCATGTTAGTCGTATAAAGTTCTAGATGATCGAATGGGTTAGAAGTATTGTCGTAGGTTTCTAAAGCTGGCATTTTGAATCCTTTTAGAGGCATGGCTCTATCAATTTCTTTGGTGAAGGGTGAGGTCTTCAGGAACTTAAGCTCATCCTTGAATGCCATTGACTTTGTTTTTAACTCTTTTTCCATGGCCTACATCCGAGCTTCCAAGTCTTTGTTGGGTTGGGATTCTGGATTTGTTTGTTTGGATTTTTGGGTTATGGCATGTGTTAAGTTGTGGCTGGGGTAATGGCAAATTGGGGTGTTATGCTCCTCTTCTCTAAAGGCTGAGGAGGCTTCCATCTCTTTGTAACTTGGTTGTCTTACTGCAGCTCCTTGGCCATAGGTGACTAAGTCGAGCACTTTTGAAACTTATGGTAAGGTTGTGGTTTGCAACATTTGTTTAAGGGCTTGGATTTGATCGGTTAAGGCTTAGAATTGTTCCGTGGTCGGGCCTCTTTATGGTGGGGCAGGTCATTCTGAGTGTTGGCTATTATGCATTTCTGTTCCAGCTGGGATGGCCATCTCTCCTTCCTCTAGGGTTCTCTTTCTTGGTGTCATTTTTTCGTGCTAAGCTAGTGAGTGGAAAAGGAACCTCCTACCTAGCGTGCCAAATGTTTATGCCGAACTCCGATCTTAGGGTATTCCTAGAAAGATAGAAGAGAAAGATAGTTAGAGGCACAGGTAGGAAGTGTTCCTTGTGTTTGCATTTTAATGCGTAAGTCAAAATAAGTGAGGTTGGAAGTAGAGTAGTAAGGAGAATTAGAAGTAGAATGGACTTACCTTAATGGTGTCTGGACATTCGTATTTATAGATAAGTGATAAGGGACTATTAGGGGACAATAAGGATGTGGCTGAGCTGATGTGGCACTAAGTATGTCAGCTCGACCTGACATGTCAAGTCAACACAAATGTCGGAATTACCCCTGATTGTCTGTTGAAAGCTTCTAACATGGAGAAAGAGTACTACACCCTATTGACTAAATGCCTTAAACACTTCTCATGCTACTGAGCAGTTATTATTGGATGATTTGCTGTTCTGTATTCAATTTCATGGTGCAAAGAATTATAGGTTATATGATTTAACTGTTAATGACATAGATAATGCGTGTAAAGATATGCACTAGATATTATAGACCAAAGTATTTCTAGCTTTAATTTGCTAAATAACCCTAAATAATAGGTAATATTTCCAGTAGAAGATGCACTATGAGATGAAAATTAACTTCATTTCATTGCTTGTATTTCTTTGACTGCTTAGAGTGGCTATACGTAAATATATATATATATATGTTATTCAAACCATGTTTAGGTCTCTTTATATTTGATTAATTATGGGTAATTTTATTTGTTCATAATGACTTGTGTTATATTCTATTTATTTCTGAATGATATTGTCGTCTAGTTTGTTTATAATTATGTACACCCTTCCTTGGGTTAACTTTTCTTGCATTTTCTGCATAAAAGATTGAGTTGGTATGGGATTGCTGTAGCTTGTCTTGTTAAACCAAAAATAGTAACACTATAGCCTGTATGTGTGATATCATTGTTGCTTTTAACTGTCTTGGGACATCTCTGTCTTTATCTTGAGGGGCAAAAACCAAATGCTGCTGCATTGTCGATGATTGCCTTTAATAAATCTTGGATAGGATAAATGTAATTGGACTCCTCTAGCGAAATGCCTTGTCTCTTTCTCCTCCTTACATGGCAGCCTAATCTCCTATATTGAAGCATGGAATGAAACACTGGAAACAAACTATATGTAATTGTTATCTGAAAGTTTCTCAGTGTACCAAGTGATCTGATATGAAATCATTCTATAAGCTTACATTAGAGAGCTGATAGTTTTGTTTTTAACTTGAAGCATGAAGGAGATATTAGAAAGGTACAATTTGCGCTCAAAGAACCTCGAGAAGCTGGAACAGCCATCTCTTGAGTTGCAGGTTTGTTGTTCTCTTTCCTTTCTTTCTTCCCTTTTTGTTTTTTATCAATAGTTAACCATTTGGCATGAAACTTACTTGGGGGATATGTATGAAAAATTGGATTTTTATAGAGTTGTACCTGTAAATGTTTCACTGGTGAGCCTCTTCTTCACATGAAAGAATCACGTTTTGGATAACAACATTTGGAATTGTTTTTGGTTTCTTCTGACTTAAGAAAAGTACAATATATATTTTTTTCCTTTTCTACAAAATAATAGAAGAATTTATTAAATTAAATTTAATAATCCTGGCTTCTCGTAAACAATAAGAGGGTCATTAATTTTGTTCCATCAGGATCAAATATATGTGCATGTATAGATTTTGTTGTAAATTTATATCCCAACTATTTCAAGGAAATCTAGAAAGAAATTGCATGTTTTGGTTTTTCTTACTCAATGAACAACCATTTATATGTTTGAATTCGATATCCAAAATTTTCACCATTAAATTATCTATAAAATCCTATTACATTTCTTTATCAGTGATAGAGATTTTTCCCCCTTTTCCTAATCTATAGCTTGTAGAGAACAGCAACCACTCCATGCTGAGTATGGAAGTAGCAGAGAAGAGTCATCAACTTAGGTTTGCATTTGTTTTGTTTTGTTTCTTATTAGTTTTATTCATATTATGTGTACATATATATGATTATTTTGACTAAAAAAGGCAAATGAGGGGTGAGGAACTTGAGGGATTAAACATTGAAGAACTACAGCAGTTAGAAAAGTTTCTGGAAGCTGGGTTGAGCCGTGTGATTGAGAAAAAGGTTTATGTAACTTTCTTTTTCATGTTGAAGGTTTTAGGTAATATGTTTGCCATTCCTACTTATCTTTAATGTCTTTCAGGGTCAAAGGATTATCCGGGAAATCAATGACCTTAAAACAAAGGTCAGTGCATTGTAATCTACTTGCTGAGATTGAAAGTTAGATGTGAAAGAAAAGGATTGATTATGGAAGAAAAATGCCATGAATATTGGCGAAAACCTTGTTGTTTCTCATAAAGTTTTAGAAGTATGATATCGTGTAATTTTCTAGGTGATGTTCTCTTAAATGACTTTTAGCTATACATTCAGCAATTTTTGTTTCAAACATGCAGGGAATGCAATTGATGGAAGAAAATGAACGATTGAAGCTTGAAGTATAGTTTTCCTTCTTCCTACGATTTTATGCTTCTATACTTTGTTAGTAGCTACAAGCATTCATCGCTGAAGGTGTTGCAGATATCTAATGGCCGAAGAGAAGTTGCTGGTGATTCAGAGAATGTGTTTTGTGAGGAAGGTCAGTCATCAGAGTCTGTGACCAACGTTTGTACCTCTAATGCTACTCCACATGACCATGAAAGCTCCAATACATCCTTGAAGCTAGGGTAAGTAGCATTGTACAGGCATAATTACACGTACAAATACTATATTTACTGTTAAAGCAATGGCCAAATCCTTTGTTTTTTTCTTTTTCAAAACAGTTTGTCTTGATCTTTTGCAGGTTACCATTTTCTGGTTAAGTGGGAAGGTTTGAGGCGATAAACTTACTAGCAAATATAAAGTTTCGTACGATATAGTTGACTTGGTTTAATGAAATTAATGCAAAGTTAGCCCCTTTTGATGATTGTAGGGACAATTAGTACGTGTAACTTTGACAGATCAAAATTGGAAACTGACACCAGTTTCTCACTTTCCTTCTCTTAAAAGTTGTAGTATCTGGTAATTTCTTCTATGTTTGCTCGGATGATTTTGATCATTTTGGTCAACTATTTTTTCTTCTATTGTGGACTTGTTTGCATACAATCTAACTTGTGATTTATTATATGTCAACGATTTGGCAAAGGTTGTTCAAGAAAGGAGTCTTTTTAGGAGTGGTAGAGTTGACAACTAATTTATGAAACTGGAGGTCCAAGGATAATCAGGCCACCAAACTTAACCAACAAATTGGTATTTGATATGCATCTACGCTGTAATAGTGAAGGAGAAAGGGTGCAACATTTTAGCCAGAAGTAATAATGATAAAATGAAACGATGCATGCACCTAGGTTCCTATAAATAATGAACACAATGTTCGGAATCTCGATCACAATCTACTCCTTTTTTGATTTGGAGAGTGCTCTCTTCCTCTGCCCAAGCATGTAACGATACATGTGAGGACTACCTGCAACAAGTTATACCGTTAGTTAAGTGAGTGGCAGCAAATTGTTGTCAACAAGCTTACTAATCAAGTTGAGAAAATGTCAAAAGAGGAACGTTTATTTCATACCTGGGACATAGGTTCCAAGGGTAAGAATTGCAGCATAGAAGTAATCAAAAGAGAAATTCCACTTGTTTGGCATTCTTATGCAATACTTGTTAGAAGCCTGCAGATACACCAGTTTATTCAATGAACATACAGCGTATGCTTTTACCACTTTTATTGGAATGAAATGCTAAAGACGGGGTGGGGTGGGGGTGTAAAACATTTTGGATGAGTTCTAAGCAATACAGCAGCTGGTTGTATCAGAACATCCATCTTTTGCTCTTCAAAACCTTTTCACCTTTCCTATTTATGTGGAGGTTAAATTCAGCATCTAAACAGCTTCAATTCCTATAAAGATAATTTGGTATATTTAAACACATTAAACCGTAGTTGCTAACACCAGTAACTCGTGTCTATACTATACAGGCAAATACTAAATCTTCTTGGTCATTCAAACTAGTCTTCTTAGAAAGTAATACTAGACCTGAATAGTAACAAAACATTATTTGGTAACCAACAATAGAAAGCTCCATTTCAACTTAATATATCAAACATTTATCTTGGTATAGAGTGGGGTGAAAGTAATGGTGTACAAGTCTACAACACATAAGCAGACTTTTGGTGTGACACATCAGTGATACATTACCTTGATATATGGCAGAGCAAAATATATCAGACCAACTTCACTGCTGATTCCAGTTGGATACAAAACCAAAAAGGTGCTGTACCTGCATCAAAAAATTGAATTTTAGGAAAACAACCATGAAGGATTCAACCACTTTGTTTCCAGTTAACAAGAATAGAACACATATATTATATACCTAAGCCACAAATGCCAAGAAGGTGCAAAACCAAAGGCCTCCTTCATGCCAAAGAAAGAATAGCGAATAATCTGCAATTATAGGAAATTGATGAAAAAAATCAGTATGATATCAATGTCTATAAAAAAATGACCTTGGCAGGTGGAACTCTTGGAGAACGATATTACTAGGGTTTTTCATCATTAATGTACAGAGAAACAATACTTTTGAGCATACGATTGCACAATCAGAAAAATCAAACAATAAGGACAAGCATCAATACTCAGTTCTAAACATAATATTGGCATTAAACCAAATGCTTAAGAATCAAACTATATAAATTCCTTGTTTTGACAAAATTAAAATCATGAATTTGGAAAACAAGTTCCCAATTCCAGTTACAAATAGCAGTCTCAAGCTATCAACTTAACTAAACAATACAGCCCAAACCATGAAAACAAAAGAAGATTACATACATTTGGGAAAGCCCTTTCTATATTAATATTATACTTTGAATACTACCAATAAGACCTCAAACCCAACAAAAACATCAAATACAGCTGCTAATTATAAGTACAAATTCGAAAAACAGGACAAGCCGAATTCAATTAATTTTACCTCTGTAATGGACCAACTGATGACCAACGAGGTAACAAGAATGTGGGTCCGAATCTGCGAATCACCATCATCATTTTAAATTTTAACCAAAAATTATCAAAGATAAAGGTAAAGATGGTAATTTTTTTTTTTTTTACCTCAGGAAAACTCCATAAAATCCCCCAAGTTAAGTACAATCTTGATCCTATTTGTGGAAGAGTTGATGATATCGGTGACCGAACCAGACCTTCAAAAATTAATAAAAACAAAAACAAAAACAAATTTCAAAATTCATTTCTTTTCGAAATCAAATTACTTCAAGAATTATATAAGTTAAGAAGAGAGCGCTCACCTACCAAACCGTGAAGAATCTGTTAAAGTCAAAGAAAAAGATAATTAATTAATTTAATACACCAGGAAAGAAAATTGAGTGAAGATAAACAAAGTGGTACCTCCAAAACGGCAGCGGATTGAGCGAGAAGGAGAGGCTTTTCAACAGCATTGTAGACATGTTCATGATCCGATTCCTTCAAAGTTTTCAACGCCAAAAACAGAACCTGAAACCTGAAAAAGAAAACAAGGAAATTCCAAAATTTGAAGAAAAAAAAATGAAGAGAGATCTGAGGTGAGCATGCTTGCCAGCCGATGAAGATTGTCCAGTTGTAGATGGAAAGGTAGAGACGCCTGAGAGCAGTCAAAAAGGAAGCCATGAAGAATGGACTGATTTGTTAATAAAGGCTAGCTAGAAAGTAGAGCAATTTATATAGAGGAACGGGGAGGAAGGAAACTGACAGAACAAAGACCTAGAGAGAGAAAAAGAGACACCTAAAGTTTACATTGTGAGGGGGGAATTTCAAAATGGGACAATTGAGTGAAAGTATTTGAATTTAATGTCACAATAAACAATGATTATAAGGAAACAAATAAAAGTAAGTACTAAAAAACAATAAAAAAGAAACCAAGATGATCATTTTAGCGTTGGCTTTAGCAATAAGCAAAAATAGAAAGGAAGAAGGAATTAGAGAAAGGATAAGAGAAATGGAAGAAGAGATATGTAGACAATGACAATAAAATAATCGTCAATAACGATAGAAGTTAGCAAACACATTGGACTTGACCTTAAATAAAGAAAAAAGAAAAAAAAATCATTATCAAAAAAATTGAGACTATAATTATAATTAAAAAGGTCACATTTGATCTTCATAACAAAAAATTTTATCAATTTAAATATATTTGATGAAATTTTTTAAATTTTGCTCGATAAAAAATAAAAATAAATAAAAATAAGAAATTTATTAATTTAATAATTAAATTATAAATTATAAATTTTAACTATTAAATTAATAAAATTTTTAATCTTTGCTCATTTTTATAATTTTTACCAAATAAAATCTTAACATCGAAAATGTTTTCATTTAATTATATACGAAAAGAATGACATTAGATTTAAAATCAGTGTCTCCGACATCAATAATCAAAGAAGAGAAAGTAAAATAAAATAAAAATAAAATAGCCTTTGCAATTTTTTTTTACGAGAATTAATAAAATATGATTTCCTTACTAATATAGATTATAATTTGTTATGTGTCGCAACAAATTCAACATATTCTCACTCCGTTGCCCCATTTTGAAATATCTCCTCACCTTGCATCATTTATGAAAAGCAGTTGGGAGATTGGTGAGCTGCTCAACTGCCAGCTTTCTATCCATCTGAAATTTGTAATTCTTAAATATTTGAAGTAATTAATGTTGTCTTTTACTGCATGATTAGTTGTTTTTCATTTTTTATTAACAAAAGAAGTACATATGATTTTTTACAATTTTTTCATTAAAAGAAAAATAGATTATGATAAAAAGATGGTAATAAATTATGATAAGATGTATCATATATGATAATTAAAATAAATAATTATAAATTATATATTTGAAATAATTTTAACAAATGACTATTAATAAAACTTGAATTTAATATTTTTTTGTCGACAAGAATGAATCTTAACTAATTAAATTATATTGGTGATAAAAAAGTGATAATAATGTTAATTAGAAGGGTGATTTGGTTAAATTAACTACTTTATTATTTATCTTTTAGTTTTAAAATTTTTTGAAGGGTTTATGTAAAGTAAAAATAATAACGAAAAAATTATTTTTATTTACTTGTAAATATAAATAATTAAAGTACAACACCTAATCTAAATGTTATGGCTGCATTTAGAAGTTAAATTACATAATTTATTTTTCATAATTCTTTAAAAAATAAGTGCTGAAAACTATATTATTTTCATTGTCAAATCTCACTAATCTAATAATTTTCCTAATCCATTGGCTTTTCTTTTTAATTTTTTAATGAATACATAAAATATAATAAGATTTAAATTTCATATTTATTAACTATTATTTTTTAAAAAAATAATTATACAAATTAATTAAATTAAATCTTTTTTTTTTGTAATTTTTAGTTTTTGACACAAATAATCAATAAAAAATAAATACATTGCTACTTTAGCGACCCATAAATCTAGTCATGTGGTTACACATGATTCATAAATGATGATACGGGTTAACAAGAGTGAATATATATATATATATATATATATATGAATAAAAAATTATTTATATTAGTGTAAAAGGTCTACATTTTTTTTGGATCATTGAATCTAAATTAAATTTATAGTGCTGGTCTACATTTTTTTTGGATCATTGAATCTAAATTAAATTTATAGTGCTTACATTTAATTATTTAAATTTAAAATTTTAATATAAGTGAATTTCTTCTTTGTTTATGTATACATTTATATTAGTTGGCATTTGTCATCATTAAAAGCTTATAGGTTTGTCTTAATCATAATAATGAGCCTAATTATTGGACAAAATATTCATGTTCTAAAGACCAACCTATACTTAAAAACTTTTAATTTAAATGATTTTTTTAATTTCACTTAAATATTTACCAATTTAGCCACTAAGGTCATGGATTAATGGTAAAAAAGAAGTTTTATAATCTTAAGTTTTTAGATTAAAGTTTTATTAAATGTGAGTTTAACTATCTAGTTTTGTTATAATTATTAATTGATTATTAATGATTATAATTTGATTATAATGTAATAATTGATTTTTTAATTAATATAATTTATCAGTTGATATTTAATAATTATAATTTGATTATAATATAATAATTGATTACTCAATTGAATATATCCTTGATTATGATGATAACAATTTAAAAAAAAAAAAAAAAACCTTTGCCAATCTCAATAGAATTGTTTGGATTAAAAATATATGCATTTATGAATACGGTTAGTCATTTGTCAATGGTTTATTCATTTAACGTTATGGAATGCCACGTTCACATTTATTACAATTTATAAATTCCTTTTTGTTATAAGTGTGAGAAACATGTGCAAGACTTTTTTGCTTCTTAATAGTCTAAAATCTTAAAAAAAATCTTATTATGAGATTCATAATAATTTTTTAAAATTTTATTATGATAAAATTGAAATTATGAGTCAAACCTTTTATTTGAAAATATAAATTCCCTCTTGTGATATCTACTTAGAAAATAGAAAGTTTTCATTGTTAAATATGAAAGAGCAAAATTTTATGGAGAGCAACCATTGCCACGTCCAAGGACCTTTGATGAGGAACTTGATCCCCCAAAGAAATAGAAACCTTGCTTTAGTAACAAATGCTGTCATTTTGATATTGAAAATTGCTGATCCCTTTTTTTTTTTTTGGCCTTTTGTGAGATTCGTCTTCTTTCCTTGTCATTATCAAGGGTTAAACTCTAGCATAAGAAACGTTGGGAGTGCTTCAAAGCTAGGTTGGCTTCTTCGGAGGTTTTTTTTTTCTTTTACAATTGTAATTTAAAAATTAAAAATTAAAAATATTAAAATTAAAATTTTAGATTTATTCGATATTACCTTATAAAATAACTATATTTATCAATTAAGTTAAAGTTTAAATTCCTTAAAAGCATTTTGATTGTTTTACTTTCATAAGAGCATTAGGTAGGCCTGACAAGTGGCGAGGCCAGGAAGCCTATAAAAGCTTCGTCAAGCAAGAGGGCAAGCGCGACTTTGTTGACCTTTTGGCTAAAATTAATTTTTGTTGACCTTATGGCTAAAATTAATTGTAGTATTTGTTCTGATGCGTGATTCATTGACCACGAGATATTAACTTAATTTTTTTTAAAGAATATCCATAACACTAGCTTTCTACTTTGGCTCTCGTTTCCTTGCTTGCTGCGCTACAGCACGTTTACGTTAATCTGGTATAGGTGTATCCAAATCTGAATTATCAATAATCGTGATAAAATATTAGATTTTTAGTTTTAATAAATTTAAATAAAAAATTCTTAAATATTGAAAATTTGAGGATCTTGTGGTCTTATATATTGCAAACAATTGATTCTTTGGAACACCTAGGAAAGCATAAATCGCAATTTCCATAAAAATCTCACTGATTTTAGCTTATTACCATAAAATTTTATTTCTCTAGCATCTTGAATAAAACAGTGAATTTCAAGCAAAAGGATTGTTCTTTGTTGGCAGAGTTTCAAGATTCATCATTTGGTTTAAGTCATCTTAATAATAATTACTTGTGCTTTTTTGTGCCTAGATTTCCAAAGTCATAGATCGAGCCACAATGTGAAGAGATTATTGACTCACACGTGTTTAATTTAGTAGGGGTGAAAAAAATTAAATTAAAAATTGATTTGAGATTATAGTGTTTGTTTTAAATTAAATTTAGATATTAAATGTATATATTAAAATTAAATTGTACTTTGAATTGATAAGTGAAAAATAAAAAAAATATTAAATCAATCAATCAAATCAAATTATATATTTTTATTAGTTTTATATATTTTTTAAAATTTTTATAAAATAAAAATAGTAATTTATCTCAAAATTTATTTAAATATATTAAAATTTTATATAAAAATAATATAAATTTTAAAAAATTAAATTTCAAAAATAGATAAATCAAACTAAACCAAATTAATAAATTTTAATTTAGTTCGTTTAAAAAAAATCATATAAAAAATCAATTAAAATTTGGATTAAACTTTTTAAATTTGTTACATTATGTAATATTTTTTTAAAGGATTAAATAAATTCGAATCAATCCTAACTATTATTATCTTTATAAATTATCTTGTTGCCTGTAAGTACTCGGTTCAATTTGTACTTAACTATAGAATGGGTTTGCCCAACGCACCCCACCAATTTTTATTGTTGTCGAAGAGTTAAAATCAAAATTATTGAACCCGCGTTAATTTTAAGAAATAATATTTAATAATTTTAAATTTTAGTATTTATAATTTTTTATTTCAAGTAGTTATTTTTTATTAAAAAAAATCAAAATTATTGACAGCTCATTTTGGTAACCTCTCTTTAGATTTGCATATGTTTTCTACATTCTTCCTGTGGATAGAATAACAATTGTTTGGCTAAGTTTGGTTGGGCTAATCCTTTTTTTTTCCTCGACTGTTTTTCTTTTTTTCTTTCTTTCCATTCTATATAAAAAGTTTTTCAAATATAATAGCATATATGAGTGAGTACACAATTTCTTCATTGTTTTCCTCTAAAATCTTACCTCTAAATAGCCCTCTATTAAATAGTATTAGGGGCGTTTAGTTGGTAAATTTTTTAATTTTGAAAAAAAATTGTGCTTTCCTAAAAAATGTAATATGTGGAGGAAAATTTAATTTTCAAGACATTCTATTTTTAAATTTTTGTGTTTGATTGAGAGAATTTGTATTTATTAAATAATATATTTTTATTATAATATCATTGATATTTTTTAAAAAAATATTTATTTCGTTGTAAAAAAAAAAACACGACAAATGATACAAGAATTTTATATATTTTTATAAAATTAAAATTGTACCAATTATAATTTTTATATAAAAAAATGTAATAATTGATTTGAAATTTTAAAAGATGGG